TTGTTAAGCTTTTTAAATTGACCATTTTGATAGTATACTTAACTTCTAACTAACTAACTGACCATGCCCTTCCTGACTTTAAATACCTGAATCTATCTCCCCTATGACTTCTTTCTATAATGGGGTCATTCTTATATTTAAGTAGTTTTTTCTCATTCCTTCGATGATAGCAATGGACACTTTAAACAAAATGGACAAATGTCCATAAACATAATCTTGCTACAACTCCAAAGGATTACCTGAAGGTCTTCTGTGGCTCTCTAAGATTAAGAAGTCCCACTCTACGTTTTTCTTTTCTTTTTTAGGTGAGGCAACCCTTGGTTGACCTCACAGATGGCAAGGACCTTGTTAGCTTACAATCCCTTATTTTTTATTTTTTATGCCTACAGCACCTGGTCTTCCTAGGTGGTCTCCTATCCAAGTACTAACCAGGCCTGACCCTGCTTAGCTTCCGAGATCGGATGGGATGGGGCTCGTTCAGGGTAGCATAGCGGTAGACTACAGTACACTGCTTCTGTCTGACCAGGCTGACTTTCCAGAAGTAGACACAGGCCCAGAGTAACGCATATCAGTAGCTGAACAGGCTTAAGAAACTACAACTCTCATGGTCCTCCGGGGCAGAGGCTCAGCCAGGGAAGGCGTAGGTGGCCCCAGGCGCTGCTGGGAGATGTAGATCTGGGCGGTCCCGGGTGGGCGGGCTCACCTGAGGACATAGGAGCGGGCGGGCGCGCTCTTGTAGATGTACTGTGCCAGCCACCACTGCACCGTCATGTTCCAGTAGCGCATGCCATCCCGCACCCGTACGCAGAAGTCAGTGCCGTAGCAGTCGATGTTGCGGACGGTCTCATAGTCGTACTCCAGGGCGGCCGCCTTCTCCAGACTGGGGGGGTGGAGGGTGAGGGTAGGGGACAGACATGCAGCTCAGCCAGGTCCCTTTTCAACGCTGGCTACTGTCCCAGCCCCGATGCTAAGGAGGGGATTGCGTGCAGGCAACAGCCCTCTGGCTGTCACGTTGGCTAGGGCATCAGGGGAGGGTAGCCCAGAGGGAGCCTTTCTGAGGAAGAAGGTACAGGTGGGGCCACATAGTTCACCAACGAGGGGGCTCTCTTGGCAATGGGGCCCACAACAGCTTCAAAAAGCCTTTGAAGGGTTACAGTTGCTAGGCTACAAGTCCCTAGCAACCTGAACCTTCATAGTCTCCCATGCTAGGGAAAGGCTTTACCTTAGCAACCAAGCTCAGTGTATTCAGAGAAGCCTCCGAAAGTGGTCCCTTCTGAGTTGCAGGACACTGTAGTTGCTAGGGAAGTAGCATCCCCAGCAATGAGGTGGGCCATGGCTGTTCTATGCCCGTGTGACACCTGGGTGGTCTCTGTTGCTAGGGAAAGGGCATTCCTTAGCAATAAGGCCGGGATGTTTAGAAAAGCTTCTGGAAAAGGCCTTATGATTGTTCAAGAAGTGTCATCTCCAGTAATATGGTGGTTCCTGGGGCACTGCTGCCACGTGGTGGTGGTAGGGGAACATCCTTGGCCCAGTGAAACCTCTGGCGGCATCTGATAATGGGGGCGGGGGCATCTGCTAGGAGTGGGTGAGCGGGTTTAAAAAAGCTTTCAGTCTCCACCTGACATTTTCTGGGGACACCCTCCTCAGGAACTGGAGGTCCACTTATGGTTACTAAGGCAGTGAAAATAAATTCACGTGGGGGTGCCACCTCCCCCACAATGGAATGGCAGCTCCTGTCTACTAGGGGATGGCCCTAGTCAAGGAGTAAGTTATAATTGACATTGATGAGGGGGTTGCTCCCCCAGCCCCAGCTGTGGCAGAATACCATGGATGATAGGAACAGAAGGCAGCCCTTCCGGTTGCTAAGGGCACCATTTCCCTAGCAACACAGGAGCAACACTTCCTTAGCAACAAGACAGTTCAGTGTTATCAGCAATGTGACTTACCTAGCGGTGAAGAAGCTAGATGGGTAGCATTACCAGCAACAAAGTCAATTCATCATTACCAGGGGCATAAACTTCTTCAGCAACAGTAGGAGGGTGATCTGCAGTTGCTAGGAATGGTGCCCACCACTCTGCTAGAGGCCAGCAGTCAGGGATGCCATTCTCTTAGAAACAGAGAGCAACTACAGGCTATGTGATGACAGTACATAGGAGGAATGAGGGGTGGGGAGATACTGGCTCCTAGCAAAGGAGCAATTTAGGGGGTAACATTTCCATAGCAACAAAGAACCGGTCTAGCAGGAAGGGGCAAACCGCTATAGCTGCTAGAGAACCTGGTTCTCAAGCAAATAAGGGTGGTCCAGTTGCCAGGGAACTGTTTTCTTAGCAACAAAGGGTAACCCATCACTGCCCAACGATGGCATCCTGAGAAACCAGAAACAACTGGGTTATTGGGGTGACACTTCCATGGTTGCTAAGATACCACTTTCCTTTTCCTAGCAACAGAGAGCAATTTGCCATACCAAGGAGTGACAAGCACTAGCAGCAAGGGGCAATCTGTAGGTATCAGGAGTGCTGTTCTCTAGGACAGGGAAAGGTGGGCTGTGGTGGCCCAGGGGCGACACTAACAACAGGTGGTGGACCTGCCCCCTGCTCTCCTCCCTATTAGGGGCAGGGCCAGCCTGTGGTGATGGGGCCTGCTGGGTCTTGGGCCACCTCCCTCCCGCCACCTGACCTGCTGGGGGGTGGGCAATGGAGGGTGGGGCCGCCCCCGGCCCGGGCTTTGGCGGCCACGGGGTAGGCCCCGAAACCCGCGGCAATGCAGCCGCACTCGGCCACAATCCAGGCCACGTAGAAGCGCATGCGGAAGGCGAAGAAGACGGGGATCATGTAGAAGAGGCGGGCAGGCAGCGGGCGGGCGTAGAAGGCATCCTCACGCACGGCCTCCAGCGGGAAGAGGTGCGAGGACAGCAGGAAGAGCAGCCCAAAGAGTGGCGCCGGCCAGGCCCGGCGTAGCAGGGGCCGCAGGCTGGGTACGGCTCCCGGGAAGGGCTGCTCCAGCCAGTCCAGGTATGTGCGGTAGCGGAAGAACGGGCCTGTAGCAGGGGAAGGGCAGCTGGTCAGAAATGGGACGGCCGGAGGGGTGCAGGGCTCAAGTATGGGGTGGGGCGAGTAAAGGCAGGCAGAAGGAAGTAGAGACAGGGGTGGGGTGTGACATCCAGAGGGAGAGGAGAGACAGCCAGAGACGTAGAAACAGAGGGGAGGACAAAGGACTCAGTAGGAAAGCAGGCCAGACATTTACAGAGAGGGACAAAGACCCATTGAGTGAGGGGAACTAAGGCTCTGAGATGGAGAGTCAGACCCTGAGGAAGGGGGTGAGCCCGGTGTGACTGAAAGAAAGCATAGCAGTGTGGCAGGGGCTGGACCCGGAACCAGGCGGGCTCGCGGTTTTGTTCTCAGTGCTAGGAAACCACGTGGCCCATTCACCTTTCACAAGAGCTGAGCTGCCTGGGGCAGCAGAGGGGCAATGATGGAAAATGGGAGGCTGTTGTAGTATTTTAGATAAAATGATGGCCTGGCCTAGAGAGGGAACAGTGGGGATTAACAGAGGGACAGGTGTTAGAAGTCTTACGTGTTACAGAAGGCCTCATAGTGTTTGATTCCATTCTAAAATGTGCATGATAAGCAAATCTACAGATAGAAAGTCAACCGGTGGTTTCCAGTGACTGAGGGAGGACGGAAGTTTGGGGGATGATGGCCAAAGGGTGCAGGGTTTCTTTCTGGGATGACGAAACTGTTCTAGAAGTAGGTAGTGAAGACGGTTACACAACTCCATGAACATAATACAAACTAGCCAACTGGACATGGCTATGTCAGTTATGCTCAACAAAATTACCATCAAAAAGAAAACTTTCTATGAGGTCAACAATAATGACAAATATTTTCTGAAACTAAAACAGAACCACAAGCCGTGAATGTTTGTTCCCGGGGCAGCAGGAACACCATGTGAACAGATTTTTCTCTTTATCTGTTTGCTCCCAAAAAGCTACAAGGAATCGCTTAGGCTGAAAGCAGTCTATCCTCCTCTGGGGGAGCCCAGGGTCCAGTGTGAGAGTCGGACATAGAAGCCCACCCTCAGAGCAGCAGATGCTGTGATGGAGACAGAGGGGAGGCAGGCCTGGAGGCAAGCATACTCACCTGTCATGATTCCCACGTAGCAGTAGCTGTAGCTTAGTGTATCCATCAAAGAGGGGACATCGGGCAGCAGTCCCAGGCTGGGCCCCTTGCTGAAGCCCGAGGCCAGTTCCTTCCTCTGGGCCAGGTGCAGGTCCTGTACCTCACTGGCCAGACTCACCAGCTGAGAGGAAGGGGCGGGGGAACAGGTCAGACCTGGGACTCCTCACACTATCTCCCTCAAGCTAGCCCTCTCAGCACCAAGAGATGCTGGCCGTGCAGCTGGGAGCCGAGGTCTACCCCTGGGGAACACTGGAGTCGGGATTAAGGGCATCTTAGTGCCTCTCTGATGGAAGGCGTGCCCTGGGACTCACCCCTGGGCCCACCTGTGTTCTTTCTGTGCTCCATCCTTCTGTGTTCTGCAGTTTGGGGGTTTAGATACATCCTACTCTCATGACTCCCAAACTTGACCCCTGGCCAGGACTTCTCCTCCAGCCCCTAACCTATTTATCAACTTGCCTCTTATCAATTAATACTGGGGTGTCCACTGGGCACCTCAAATTTCACACATGCAAAGTAGAACCTGGTATTACCCCAGTGCGGATTGCGTCCAGGCTCTCCCTGCAGGCAATGACACCACCATCCAATTACTCACTCAGGCCAGAAACTTTCCTCACTCCCCTTATCCCCTTAAGTCTCTCCAGCTTGTCCCTTTTGTTCTGCCTCCATCACCAGGCTGAATATGATCAGCCTGTCCCTCCAGGTCTGCTCTGTACCCTTCTCCACACAGAGCCAAGGCCGGCCCTCGGTCAACAAGCCTCTGTGTCTTCCAGCTTCTCCTGGTTGAGTCGACAGAGAGCCCCAGGCAGGAATGGAGGAAGGCAGGACTAAGAGCTGGGGTTTTGTAGGTCACACTGAGATAGCATGACCCTGAATAGATTGTCTCTAAGTAGGTGCCTCTATACAAGACTTGTCCTCCCAGACTCCCCCACCTGACCCTCCTCCCATTCTCTTGGGCCCAGGGCTGGTACGGCGGGCTCTCTGACTACTGGTCCAAGTCTCCTGCACTGTCCCTGTGGCTCCTCCATGTCCTGCCCATCCCATTGTAAGTAACTCCTCAAGTTATCCTGGATGTGGCATTTCCTGTGGGACTCTGACTGACCTACTAAGATCCAGGTCAAGTTGACATCATGTCTACCAGCTAGGTTTTGACTAAGGAGCCCGACCTCATCCCATCTTCCCTCCCTATTGCAATCTTCTCAAAGCACCCCGAGTCTTTACTTAAACATGTAAATCTGGTCACATCACCTCTTCTGGCAACAAACCCAAAAACCTTTTCCAGGGCACCTTGGGCCCCCACAGGTAGAAGCCCAAGCTCTCTACACTGGCCGAAAAGGCCCTTCAGCACCTGGTGTCCCTTCTCCTTCATTCTCTTGAACACTCCATGTGGCTGAAAAACCAGCCATGTTGGAAGTCAGCCTGCTGTCCCTGCATCCTGAAAGGCCCAACTCTTCTCCCAGCTAACCAATGCCTGCCTGTCCTGAGCTCCCATCCTGAAGAGACGTGGTTTGCTCCTCGCATGACTGTTCTGTTCACCAGTATGTCGCTGGAGCCCAGCGCACCCTGGGAACTCACGACTTTTCAGTCTGCGATGGGGCCTGGGTATGTATCTGCTGTCACCCATCTTCCCAGGTGATTTAGAGCCAGACCTGGTTTTGTGCCCTTAGATAAGTGCCTTCTCCCCAGAGAGGTTTTCCTCCTTTGCAAAATGGCTTGCTCCAAAATGCAAGGAGTGCAAGTTGGTGAGCACTCAGCTTGGCCTTTGGCACCCACGTGGACATTACTTGGGATACCTCTTTGCCCTGAGGAAGAGCTGAGATGTCCAGTCCTGCCCCTGGGGAGTGTGGCAGATAAAATCTGGTCTCCCTTCCCCTTCCCCCAATGGGAATGGCAGGGCGGAGGAGGTGAAGTTGAGGGGTTAATTGGCACAAAGCGGGTGGGGAGTCTGACCTTCAGTGTCAGCAGCAGCTGGACAGCATTGGTGAAGGGTGTGGGAGTGGGCAGGCCCAGCAGGCTGAGTGCTCGGAAGAACAGGAGGTAGGAGAAGGTCCAGGCTAGGGCCAGGGCATGGCAGGAGCTGGGGCAGAGGCAGGAGGCGGTGGTGCTGGGCAGTGTTGAGTGAGGGGACCTCGCCTCTGCCTCCCCCAGATTCTAGCTACAAATCCTCCCCAACCTCCCACCTTCAGAGATAGAAAATGGGGGCAAAGAGATGGGGACAGAATGAACATAATTTTGAATGAACAAGATTGAAGCAGCAAGAGAAGAGGCACAGCCATGTAGAAATGCGTAGCAACAGATAAAAGAGAATGAGAAGAGGTTAAGAGAAGCTTCAGAGTGAAGACCCTTCAATCCATTTTGTACTGTGAGGAGGGGGAGAGAGGGAGAGAGAATTCGGATATGAATGGTGGCAGGGCCAGCAGACAAGTAATATCCTCCTCTCTCCCAAATGAATCCATAACATGGATGTAGAAGATAAGGATAGACAGGGACAAGACTCAGAAAAAGGCAGAAGAGGAAAAAAAAACCAGACAAATGACAGAAACAAGGGGTAAACAAGAGACTGAGGCAGAAACAGAGAAAGACCCAAAGAAGAAACAGGTTGCTTTTTCACCCCCACCATTCTCTCCCACCCCTATCCTCACCAGGGCTGGGCCTGAACGAGGGCCCAGGTCCCAAGGATGGTGACCAGAGAATGTAAAGTGTGGGGGCCACAGGTGAATAAGGTGAGCCCCAGGCCCACAGCTGCTGCCCCCCATCTCTTCAGCCCAGGTCCTGCAGGGAGAAGAGACAGCATAAGCCTGAGACCTTCCAGCGCCCACTTCGCCCTCCCCGTCCCCCCCGCCCCTAC